TATTAATAAGACACAGCCCGCAGGGTGCAAGGTCTGGGGCTGCCTGGAATTTGCATTTCTGACAAGGTCCCTGGTGCTGCTGCTGCTGTTGAGGAACCACATTGTGAGAATCCATGCCTGCTGAGGGCCTTGAGGAGCTCCTGCAGATTCTTGAAGAGACATGCTGTTTCAGGCTTTGATCCCTTGGCTTAAGTTGTTGCCCCTGCGGGATAAGGTCTTCCTCCTGCCTTCTCTTTAAAATACAGTGCAAGTCACCTCACCTCCGAGAAGCTGTTCAGCACCCATGTGGAGAACAGCAGCTTCGAACAACCCTGGCTCCTGATAGAGCATTTTGAGAAACTCATCTTTTTGAAAGTGAGTCTGCCCTTGCTATACTTGCACTATTGAACCCACCATGGAGCCGCAGACCAGAGGTGCCCCTGGTAGTGCACTGTTGTACCAGCCATGACTTGTCTGGTGGGACCATGTGGGACACAAGGTGGCCTCTGGGGTCACCCACCTGCTCTCACATCGTGTCCACATGTGCCTTACTCCTCCTGCAGCCAGGTATTGCAGTGCATTTTCAGAAGTCCACTGGCCACAGCCTCTCTTTGGTAATGAAATAGTATGGTCAGATTTTAATTCACAACTAAAGTTTTTTAAAAGTCAGGGGTTAGTCATTTGTTTTACTAGAATGGAAAGAAGACATAAACAGTTTTATTCTGCAGGTCTTTTATTCAATTGTTTAAAAACCACAAATCAGGTACTGTATTTCAGTTAAACATTGCTTTGATTGCAGCAGAACAGCTTTTGTGGCTGTCCATGGAAAGGTGTGAACAGGAGGTGGAGTTCAAGCCATCTTGACCGAGCAGTTCTCATCTATCGTCTGTAAGTGTTGAACAGAGAGAATATTCTGGAAGCTGACTCTTAACAGGGACAGGGCATTTCAAATGAAACTGAAGTGAGGTCTTGCAGAGCGTCAGTCATTTGGTCACCAGAATGTTCCATTCTGGACTTTTGTATTTAGGTTTTTACATAGTTAACTCAGAGGTTCCCCAACTCTGTATCATGAGCTTCTCGAAACTGGATCCAAGTTTGCAAACTTGTGCTTATGATTTACCAGTGCATAAAATGAGACATTCGTAGCAGACAGCCACTGATCCAGTCTCTGTGTGGATTGTGCAGTGCTGTGCTCTGAAGCCATCCCCCACACGTGTGCACAGACCCCCAATTTGAGCAGTTATAGCTCGGCTCCCTTTTAAAGGAGATGGCTTCTTAAAACAGGAAAAGTGCTGGTGGTACTGCAGTTGTGAAAATAGCCTTAGGCATTGAATTTTTTATGCTAGGGAAGATCCAATCCCAGTGACATCAGAATAAAATATTGGTTGTCAGGTTCCTTTAGCAATCAGTATGTCCTCAACATTTTTGTGTTAACATCTGGGAAAAGGTTCATTTTCTCATTTCAAATCAGTTTAATATTGATCTTTTAGAAAAGTTGTCATTTTATTAAAATATTATACCTATACTTAACCTGTTTGTGTGGAATGTGCTCTAGTGTATTTATAAACAGTGAACTTTTTCTGAAATTAAATTTTTATTTGCAAAAAAATAAGATACAGTGCAATTATGGTATCCTGAGGATCCCATTCCGACCACCCCACAGTGATCCCATGGCCTCTGTGTTTCTGTGTCTGTTCATCTTTGTCCTTGGGAAGGCTCCATTCCCTGCACTTCAGTTGTGGTTTTATCTCTTTAAGAAAAGGGATCAGCTGGTATCTTACTCACCTTTCTATCCCTGGCACCTGGCACAATGCCTAATACACACTGAAGATACTCATTAAATAAGTTGAATGATATAATCCTACATATGCTTTCAAATGGAGTAATCCTATTTTAATTTTTATTAACTTTTAAATCATGCCTAAGGATTTTTTAACATCAAAATATTTCAACACAATAGCTGTACATCTGAGAATATTAAACTTTCAAAGCTGCCTTAATAACCACTGTATCTCTTAGCAATTTAACACCAAGAGCAGGCACTTATTCCCACAAACTCTGATGTTTGTGTAAAGATAACTTACTTCTCCTGCCTATAGTTTGAAATACTCAAGTTATCCCTCGGTCTTTCTCAGCCTTTAGAACATCTCTTTGGTATATTTTCAACCTTGGCTCTATCTAATCGGGGTTACAGATGGAATGGCCAGGCAGGCTAAGTCTTCTTTTACTGAAATAAGCAAAGATGAGTGTGCTGTAAACATGATGCATCCATGTTTCCATCCCAAAGTGGATAGCTAATCCCTCATATTTCTTCTATGTGCCTGCATGAGTTGGATAATTTCTAAGAATATAAGCTTTATTGTTTGCTTAGCCCTTGCTTTTCTCTCTGTTCACATCTTAGATTACTATTTCTTGCCAAAATATCAAGCTCCAAACTCTAATAAAGAAATTTCCAGACACAATTGTCCCTGGACAGCAGACATTTCTTTGAGGAGTACCCTACCCTGTTCCTGGTCCAGTGCAAGTCCCAAAGCAAAGAGCTTTTTCCTCCTCTCTGGGGAAATGGAGGAATACACACTAGTCCCCAGTGCTTTGGCACCTCCAAAAAAGCCTCCTCCCCTGCTGTATCTACCCTTCTCCTTCCCAGGCCCTGTTGCTTCAGGATTTGAGCTATATAGCATTCTGCTTCTATAATTCAACAAGCAAGCAGGGGATAGCTCAAAATTTTCTTTCGGTGGACATGTGGCTGAATTATGTATTCTCTTACAAACCAGGTGGCAACAGCTGGCTCAGCAGTTCAGAACAACTTGCATTTCCACTCAGTTGTTTGGAAAAGAACAACACCCTGGGCCAGAGGATTATTATTCCCTGAGCACCATGAATCTTAAACCTGCTTTCTGTTTTATAATTCACTGTGAGCTTTCACAGGAGAAAAGCATGGCAGGAATTAGTCTGGTCTCTTATTTATGTCTTAGTACTCCTTGGTTGCAAGTAATAGAAAGCTACCAAGGGTTTTACTTATAATAGAAACCTAGCGGTATTGTGTGGAACCCAGAATCCGGAAGTACCATTAGGTCCTAGCCATAAGGAACTAGAAGCAGTCAGGAACATGAGGTACTTTTTGGTCTTTTCTTTCCAATATACATGCTCTCTTTATAGCACATAGTATAGAATCCCCCAGTAGCTTCTAGTGATAGGAGACTGAAGCCACCAGAAATCATTGTGACCTAACATCAGACTCTGGAAAAAGAGACTCGTTGTTATGGCTTGTGTCTAGATATCCTCTCAAAGCCTCATGCAGTCATTGAGGGGGTCTTTTCAGAGGTGCTGGATCTAGAGTGTGTGGTGCTAGGATCAAGAGTGTGTGACTATGAAATCAGTCCACTGGTATGGCATAGTACTGGCTAGCATTAAGGGTGTAGTGCTACCCTACCCTAGAGTGGGTAGCCTGCGTAAGATAGGAGACAGAAAGAGGGCTAATGTGCTCTCATCTGCCTGCTTGCTGTGGACTATTTCTCCTCCCTGATGCCCCTCTGCTGTGCTACCCTGCCTTGGGGCCAGCCAACTATGGAAAAAAACTGCTACAAACTGAGCCAAATAAACCTTTCCTCCTTCAACTTTGGGTGTTGGGTATTTTGTCTTAGCAACAAGAAAAGTGACTAAGACAGTTGATGTTGAGTGGAATGGCTCTTGCTGATCATGTGTCCAGGCTTAGTCGAATAACCTGTCTAGAGAGCGAAGCATGGGTGGGCCTTCCTGAACAAACAGGCTGCAGGGGTACATGCTAAGGCTGGTTTTCAGGAAAGGACATATTGTAATTCCACATTTTCCCAGAAAGATCCTAAAAAATGAGTATAGTAAAACCAACCCATTTATATAGGATATCATATAAAAACTAGGGGTGATAAAGTTAGGGAGAGAAGAGACATCAAGATGCCCCCATGAGGAAAAACATAATGTGGAAATTCAAAGTAAGTGGGTTTCAAGTTTATAGAGCCATGTACCCAGAATTCATGGGCCAGAATACTGTGAATGGAAATACAAAAGATTTCAAACTAGAACTGCTTATTTTAAATGCACAGTGAATCTCATACACACTGTTTGTGAGAATGCTCGCTCTTTAAGCTCAGGTCAGTGAAAAGAGAATTAAGAGGGCAGGCACTGCCACCACTGATTTATTTGGGCACATGCTCTCAGGTTGTGATCGGTCCCTTGTTATTCCTGCTGGCTGACACCAGGTGATGCTGCTCCTTTACAGTCTTCTGTGTGTAAATGTCAGGTGAGGGCCCACTTGAAGTTGAAAGGGTGCATCTGATCACCATGCACCAGGGTGTGTTTTACCCAAGAGGAGGGGGCAGGATTTGGAGCTGGGTTTCATAGTGACCAGTTGTGGCTGACAGGTGTAGAGGGGTGGATCAAGAATCGTAGAAGAGGAGAGGTGCTCTTTGAACCCCTCTCTGTCCTCACAGACCATGTGGGGCCCACAGTTGCCTTGTCCGATTCCACTTGACAGACGAGTGCCCCAGTGCCTCTGTAGGTTCTTTCCATTTTGGAGAAACATAACAATCCTCCCCGGCTATGAGCCTGAGACAGCCTGGCCCAGGCTCTACCACCCTGCACACCCAGCCCCTGGTGCTGGAGTCCCCAGCATACTGCTTGTCTCTGTCTTAGGCCACAACTCATGCTACCCGCTGTGCCTTAGATGCTGTTCCCCTGATGTCCACCAGACAGTTCTCTCATGAATCTTGTTTGTCCACAGCCTTCCACCACTTCCGATCTCCTTATACTGCTTCTGTCAGTAGTGTACCTCGTCTTCTAAAAGCCATTGCATTAATCTACTGACTTGTTTCTTTTCATTGTCTTTCTCTCCTTGCACAGACTAGCTAGTATGTCAACTCCACTCAAGCTGGCATTTTTATTAATTTCCTGACTTACCCAAAGTCCTTAGATGACTACATGTTCATGGTAGATCCTTAGTAACTATTTGGCACATAAATAAATAAAGAGCCTTTCGCAAGATCATGGAGCCACAGAATGCTGAAGTCAGAATTCAGGCAAGGTGCACTTGGGCCACACAGAAGCATCTGATAAGACAAAGTGAAGGAGAGATGGGGGCCCTGGCCTTGCTGGACAGTGTGCTGTTTGGAGATGCAAACATCATCTGTCATGCCATCTTACCGTGAGGTTTGTGGACAATTTGTGAGAACTGGGACACTAGGATTGACCTTTTGTGTATTGCATTTCCCACACTTGTCTGATGTTGCAGGAATTATGCCCAGAGGCTTTTTATTCCTGATACAAGTGCCTTCTCCATAAAGACATGTATTTTGCTAGCCTAAGTACTTGGCGCACTTGTTTGCACTGCTCCATCTGCCTGCTAGAGCCGAGACGTTGTCTGCTAACAAAAGCTAACAGGAAGTACATGTTCTGCAGCTTTAGGAAATACACCTTTCTGCTGGCACATTTGCTCTTCTCTTCTGAGCCAAATATTTAAAATGCATCTCTCCTGTTCACTCAGATAAGATTTTTAAAATTTAGAAATTCATTAGAATGAAAAATGATTCATTAGAATGCCAGTTTTTTTCTTCTGTTATTATTTAGGATAATATTCTTGAGACTTCAATTGAGGTGAGGAGATTGACCTGGTTTTTATTTCCCTCTGCTGTGTTGATCTTGAACGTTGTTGTTTTACCTCTTCACAAGATGCTGGGCAGGTGCCACTGGTGCAGCTTTTTTTAAACTAAGAAGACTGAGGGCTGGGGATTTAGCTCAGCGGTTCAGTTGCCTGCCTTGCAAGCCAAGGACCTGATGAGTTCAATCCCCGGTACCAAAAAAAAAGTGGACTGAAAGTGTCAATTTACCAGCTACTGCTGAACTTTCCTGTGCATCATGTATATATCTGCTTTTTTGTGAATAAAAGCAGCAGGGATTGGTGGAAATGTATAGAGGATTTTGGATAGTTTTTAAAAGTACACAGCAGAAATTTTCCTTAGAGAGAATTTAAACAGTATCTGTAATACCCATAAAGACAAATTGTCCTTCAGAAGCACCACTAGATAAGCTACCTGTGAAACTGGGAGTCCAGAGTTATTTGTAAGATGACATAGAGTTTGGAACCTGAAGAGCCATAGAATCCACGTGGGAGATGCCAGAAACATGGGCACTAACTGCCCTTCACACTTCCTGCCTGAGTCTCCGCTCCAGTCATCACTGAAGGCTTCACCTTTGCTCCTCAGTGACTCTAAATCCCACCCACTCCCCACACTCTGCCAAGACCAAGTCTTGCCTGCGTGTCCAAATTCTGGTCCGTGGGTCCCTCTGGACCTACTCTGGATGTTGATCTTTCTGTAGCCTGTGTTATGATTATTCCAAAGCCAGACCTGATAAAGGCCTGCCTGTCCTCCAGGCACAGAGGGCTCATAATAGCTTCTTATTGCTGCTGGATTGTGACTTGATTACTTACCATGCCTGCATATCTGCCCTGTGCTGGCATCTCTAACTGCATATCTGCCATTCCCACACATTTCCCACACTTCGTGCTCCAGATACGCCAGTCCTCGAATAGATTGGTTTGTTTGCCATGTTCTTCTCACCATGGGGGCTTTACATATTCCCTCTGCCAAAACACCCTTCCCTCCTTTCTTTTCCAGTTAATTCCTCATCCTTCAGACCCCAGTTTATGTATCCCTCACCCAGAAGCCTTCCCAGATCATGCTCTGGGTCAGTCCCCTTCTTTAGAGTCTTCTTTGGCCTTTATAGGCTTACTTCTAGCACACCTGGGCAATTGTTTGGTTATAGTCTCTCTTACTGGACTGTAAGCTCATTGCTGGCAGGAACTGTATCTGTTTTCTTATCTCCATTTTAGCTCAAGAGAAAAGCAGTGTTGCACAAAATGGGAACTCGTTTTTTGTTTGTTTGTTTGCTTGTTGGTACCAGGCATTGAACTCAGGACCTTGTGCTTTCAAGGCAGGCAGTTGCACCACTGAGCTAAATCCCTGACCCTCAAAAAGATTTGTTGAGGATTATAGATGGATGTATGAATGGCTTTTAGAAATATCTATTCTTATGCTAGTTAGAATGGGGCACTGCTCCATTTCCAAGATGGTGGAAAGTCTGCTAGGATGAAAACAACCAGACATGAAAGAATAGATGAGATCTTCCACCAGAGGCCTCAGAGGAAGGGGGACAGAGGTGTCCCTGCCCGATGCCTCCTGAGGCTGTGTTCCTCTGTAACTTTGCCTGAGGATCAGCTCTGCTGACTCTGGTTCTGCCCAACCTGGTAGGCTCCCATCGTCTTGAAACACTTTCTGTGTCTCCAGCAAGGGCTGTTATCACTCCTGTTGAGAAAGCCGGCCTTTGACATTAAAGGAGAATTTAGACTCACAGCCCATGAGTTTTTTTACCCTATCCCTGAGCTGATTCTGTGAACAAACATTTTATCCACGCTAGGGAAAATACAGCTTGAACATCTCTAAAAATCCAAAATCTGAAGTTTTTGGAGCACCCCATGCTCAGAAAGTTTGGAATTTTTGTATTATTCAACCAATAAAGTCTGAAAATATTACAAAATATGAAAAATTATGACACCTGAAATATTTCTAGTGTTAAGCATTTTGATTTTTTTTCCAGTGCCAGGGATCTAACTCAGGACCTTGCACTTGCCAGGCAGGTGCGATGCCACTGAGCCACTTCCCTGGCCCAGTCCCAAGCATTTTGGATAAAAAATACTCAGCCTGTACAGTGATGGTTTTAAGCTGGGATATGGACTCAAATTTTCTGAGCAACCGAATTCAGACTCCCTATGTGATCTTGGGAGAAATAATATTCCTAGCCTCTATCTATAGAATAGGGAGAATACCCATACCATGGGATCATTGTGAGTTATTTTAATGGGTCAGCATTTTTCTGTACAAGCCACAAATGTAGTTTACACTTTCTAGTAGTTATATTTGAAAGGTAAAATGAAACAAGTGAAAATAATATTTGATATTAATCCAATAGATCCAAAATATCACCTGTTCAGCATACAATAAAACAATTACTGAGGTATTTTACATTTTTCTTGTTCATATTACATCTTAAGGTCAGTGTATATATAATACTTGTCCCACATCTCAGTTTGAACTAGCCACATTTCAGGTTCCTAGTAGTTAGTGGCTGCCTCGTTGGGTCATGCTGTTCTAGCTAAGTAATATTTTTTAAAAAACAACAACAAAAAACACCTTCAGCTGGGGGTATTGCTCAACTATAAGAGTACTTGCCTACCATTTGCAAGGCCCTGAGTTCAATCCTTGGTACCCTAGGGATTTAACATTCAACACATGTTGGCAAAATTGTTGTTATTTATTTATTTTGGTGCCAGGGATTGAACTCAGGTCCTTGCACTTGTGAGGCAGGTGGCCGCACCACTGTGCTAAATCCCCGGCCTGTATTGTTATTTATTTTGAAACATCAAGAACTAGTGGACAAACATTTGTATTGCACATTGACATACGTTGCTGTGGGAAGATGCCTCAGATTTGGTTTTGATTCTGTCTGGAAATAAAGGGTTTTCTTTGAGAGTTCTCAGCCTTGCCCTGTGAGGTGGCCTCTCTGGGTTTCAGGATGAATGAGGTCACTGTGGGAGTTTATGGTCATTTTTTTCTTGGGGAGGTGGGAAGGGGAACTGAATGTGCTTCAGCTGCTACGAGCCTGTCTCTGGCTCTTGGCTCTGCTCTGTTTAATTGTTTGGAGCTGGAACAACTTGATTTTAAAACAAAACATATGGACTGAGAGTGCTTGGAAGGGCATTTGCTGGTGATGTAGCCCTGAAGGTATGTACAAAGTTGAGGCCTTGTCTCTACACCCTTGCTAGGTACTGTTTTCCTTAGCTTCATATTGTGTTCCTTTTCCAAATTCTTAAATCTTTGTTTGAAAGCTGCAGTCAAAGCAGGAGATCCTGGAGTAAAATTGTAAAGGAATTTGTGAGTCTTCTTTAAATCTTATTTTCTTTCTCCTCTTTGTAGAAAATCATTGGTTTCTAAGCTACTTATATGAGTCATGAAAGAAGTTTTTGTTTGGAAGAACCAAGAGGAGAATTTTAGAGAGGAAAAAGCAAATCCCCTATCCCCACCCCACTGATTTTCTCTGTTCTTCCTCCCTCTGTCTGACCCCAGCATGGGGGATTTTTATGCCTCTGGCTAGGTTTCTGTCTTTTTACCTTTTAATGCCTTCTTTGCTTGATAGGGGAGGAATGGGTGGTGTCCTGATCCTGTTCCCTCTGATTCTAAACTTTCTGTTCCAAGGAGGACAATGAGAATTTATCGGAATGGTAAGGGCAGGTTAATCAAACTTCTTCGCCACTCAGAAGCTGTGTGCTTCTAAATAAGTTATCCAAGCTCTCTAAGCCTCATTTTCCTCTTTCCAAGAAAGCGGGTAACATGAATCTATTTCAAAGTACAACGACTGTGAGTTTAAAAGAGACTTTGTTGCTTACAGAGAACTAAACGCAGTGCTGGGCAGGTAATAAAACTTGGTAGATAGCAGGGGCCCCCAGGACATGAAGTAGCAAGCGGGTCAGTGGCTGAACACACCCTCTGCCACGACAGCCTCCCAGTGATCTGTGTCTGCAGACACTGTGGCTGGATACTGCACCAGTGGGCACAGTTGGTTATACTCGGTGAGGTCGGTGTTAGCGTCAGTGACAGCTGAACTCTGGGTCTCACCGCCTTCTGGGTGGCCGTGGGTCCTGTATACTCACCAGCCAGTGGTAACTCTACCCAGCACCTATGAGCAAGACTGGAACATGATGAGTTGTTTTATTTTTCTGTTTTGTTATTTGGGATCTGAAAGGTAAAATGAAATAGTACTCTGACCAGGGCAGTAGAGAAACTGACCACAGGTTTTCTTTTGAGGTGTTGAATACAAGAAAGCTGTCTATCACACTGATTGCTATTCTAAATGGGAAATTCCTTGTATGTGACTTATTTTCCCATTTGATACCCATTTAATCAATATTACCTGTGTGACTGTAATTGTAATCTTATTGTTTGTTTGTGGTTTTGTTCCACTTCCTGCCCACCTTGTAAACTTCCATTGGGTCTTATAGTTTTGTCCTACTTTGTACCCGCCTCACCTTGTGGCTTTGCTATATAAAACATCTTTGAAAATTGGGGTGGGGAGGCAACACCCTTTCTGATACCCCTCTGAAGCTTTTTTACTCTCAATAAAATTTTCCTACTCTTAAAAAAGAAAAAAAAGCTTTCTAAACATTTTTTTCAACAGCCCCTCCTGTGAGGGAAAAAATAGGAAGAACAGTTTTTACCACACCAGGGATAGGCTCAAACTTTTCTGCATAGGGGCTCAGAAAGCATTGCATACTATCTTATTCAGTGTGAGATAATTTGGGGGAGCTTTGGAAAATTCTGTTTCTAAATATACCACCATGGTACAGAGGTTACAGTCACTGTTCAGTCTCCTCTTTCCTCTTGCTCCTGCTGGTTTCCTAACCCCATTTGGATTTATTAACCTTGGCCTCCAGGTCAAACTCCCTGCTGTAAATAGCCAAGACCCCACCAGGACGGGTGCGCAGTTCTCAGTTTTCCCTGAAACTGTAAAGAATAACGACTCTCACTCATTTTCTTCATGCATTCTCTGGACAGCTTTCCCGACATTATCTCAATCAAGATGTTAATAAAATAAACAGTGAGCTCTGCTGCCATCAGACTGAACTACTTGTCAGCCTGCCCACTCTTCTTTTCACATCAGTGTTTGGAAAGGAAATTAGAGTTTCTATTGACTGTAAAGCTCAGGAATCAGATTTGTCTTTCTTCGTGACCAGTCACTCTCAGTCCCAGTCATTGCACTTAGTATCCAGACATCTGATAAAATATGTCTCCCAATCTGTGGCACCCCAATTACAAGACACTCTTATTTCAAGTACTGTTAAGGAAAAAGAAACAATTATGAATTCTATCAATTGTAAGACACATCCTAATTTCAGAGACATGAAAATGTAAGGGAGAAGCCTATATATATACATCTCAGAGTAGATGGCTGGAGTGAGAACTGGGTAAAAGTGGAGAGTCCCTGGTTATCATGTGCTCCCCTGTCACTGCCCTCCCATCCTGAGTACAGCTGCGTGACAGAATTCTGAGCTCTGTATTGGAGTGAGTGCTTAGCTCAGTCCCCTGTTAGCCTGTGCACCAAGTTATGCATGAAGTTATGGCTTAGACGAGGAAGAGTTGTGGAAGCCCTCTGAACTACAATGAAGTAGCCTATTCTTCTGAATAACAGAAGAATCTAGGAATTTGCTTGGATCATACTGAACTTGCCAAGGTCCTTGTTAGCTGTGAAGGACTGACAAGGGGCTTGAGCAGTGGGGGGTTCTGTGTGACCTCTGCGTGCCCTCTGTGACCTGTCCCGTCATAATGGTACAGTGCTGAGGAGAAGACCCTGGCTGCTCTCCACCTGTACTCCGCTTGCCTCCCCATTTGCTAGTGCATATGGGTCTCATTTATGAGACACTCGTTTCTACATCTCCTTCCCCTTTAAAAGAATAATAACTCATTCTACCTATTATTACTTCTCATAATTTGAATGACTTCCAAGTACCTATGAGTCTCCAGCCCTTCTTAATGGTCTAATAATTTTAAGCAAATGAGTGTGATTATTTTCCTGATTGAGATCATTACTCAGATTTTAGAGAAAGCTATTTTCTAGTAAAGTGACAAAAGATTGAAAACTTTCGCATTTTTCTCAGTAAAAACATGGTGTTTGCCCTGTATTTACACTGCTTTCTTTCTTTGTTTCAGTTTTTAGGAATAGCATTCCTTGGAATTGGACTGTGGGCCTGGAATGAAAAAGTAAGTTGGCTATCATTTAGATTAGAGGATATATGTTATATGTCTACATTTTGTGCTTGATCTTCACTAAAAGAGCGTTCTTAGAAGATAAATGATATATTCTCAGAGAATCTTGAGGAATGGAGCCAAAAATGACCACTGCATCAGAATAATTTAAAAAGTAACAATGTTAGTATACAGTCGTTTGTTTGTTTAGAATCTGGCCAGTTGGCCTGAGACCCATGTTCCCATTGGATGTTTCCTCACTTAGGCTCAAGAATTTCAGTAGTGCTTATAAATATCACTAAACTACCTGGAACACACACACACACACACACACACACACACACACCCCTCTCTCTGTCTCTCTGTCTCTTGTTTTTAAATTCTTTGCAGCATGATTCAGACCATTGAAAATGGTACAGTATTTTATAGTGTGTTGTGTTATAAACTGTTACCATTGTGGTATAAAGAAAGCCAGGTAAAAATTCATGTTTGAATGTCCATCTTGTCACTAATGCTAACTAATGTGAGTAGTGGCTGCTGGTTGTTAAGTATTAAGAAGAACTCAGAGTCAGTTACAATTATCATCAAAGGAAAATTCTGGAAATACAGGCAACACGTCTCAAGTGACAGCAAAGGTGCGCGTATACATGAGGACACTGTGCTCACACCTCCCAAACTTTGAATTGCACCTTTTTTTCTGTACAGCTTTCCTTGTGAGGCCATCACTGGAATTCAGAAATGAAATAGGACCCTCTCTTGGTTCCTATTTGAGGGGAGTACTTAAAGTGTTTTATCTCTCTCAGTATTTGGCTATAGTAAGGACTGCCTATCTCACCTTGTGAAAGTGGAGGGTACTGCAATGGCTTAACACTTCTGTAAACTAAGGGTTAGCTAAGTTTTCCTGAAAAACCACTCTCTTATCTCTTGGGTAGTCATTTTTATGAGCCTGACTACTACTTGAAGGGAAAAATTCTTTTGAAGTGATAAATGTGTTAAGAGCCATTATCAGTAAATAGAAAGGAAAGACAAACTGAAAAATTCCAGCAAACAAAAGACTTTCAGATGCCAGTGAAATTTCCACAATCAAAACAATGTTCAGAGAGACCATATCAAACTAAACTCAAAGTAAATCCTGAGTTTTAAAAATGTGCCATTAGCCAAGGTGTAGCTTAGTGGCAGAGGGCTTTTCTCAGTGGCCCTACCCACCTCAGAAAGTATCACTTTCTGTTTATTTACAAAATGCCTTCATGGTACATGAAACATTTTATGAAAAATAAACATGCCCCCTCCAGCAAACAACCCTTTGAGGCAAAGCAGTGATTATATATGAAGTATAAGACAAATTAATTCTCAAATGTGATAACTTTATCTCCAGAAACATTTATGTTGAATATTAATCTTCTGTTGGATTGCGATTAGCTTCTGCCTTATACTGGTTAAGCTTAGGGATTTGTATTGGTGGAATCTCAGAAATTCCTCTTTTAAAAGCCCTACAGTTGGTTAAATGCCAGATAACCCAACATTTTATAAGTCCTTTAATAAGAATGCATTTTTGTCCACTTTGAAAAGAATGCTAGAAGGCATTCAATGAGCCAACTGCTTTTAGCAATAAACAGACAACTGGTCTTTTTGAAGACTTTTTTTCACTTTGTGAAATATAATTATCTTTTTTTTTCGTTGGTTGCTTTAAATGTCTCTTTTCAGATAAAGTCACAAACTTCTAAAATTGGCAATGTTTCACAAGTCAGAGCGAGGGATGACAGTGTCAGAGAAGGATGCAGTAACAGTCCCTTCTTTGTCAGGGCTACCATCGGTAAATAGGAAATTTCACTTGAGAGCCAGTCAGCTGGCCAAGGCCGTGCAGGTACAATGGAGGACAAGTGCAGGGGAAACTAAAGGGGGTGCTCGGCCCGGCAGGATTACAGTATGGTGAGCACTGCACATGTGTCTGAGCCTTGGGCTTGGGAGGTACAGCGTGGGATGGTGTGGAGTCCCTGCTCTTGGAGCTTGCATTCTAGTAAGCACTGGATAGGCCAGTAACTTGCCAAGGGTATGCATCCAGACTGCTAGCAAGAAGCACCAACTATAGTTCAGGGACTACAAAAGAACGGTAGTCGACATTTATTTGAGGTGTAGCTGGCAACAGCCTCTCTGAGTATTAGCACTGGAGCAGAGACCTCGATAAAGAAAGAGAGCCCTGCATTCTGATAAAATGAAAGGAGTCCAGGCGAGAGAATAGTCAGGTCTTGGTGATCCCACTGATGGCCCAGAAGGCCAGGAGGGCTACACCGGAGAGAACATGGACAGAAGTAGGGCTGAGGCAGGCTTGGCAGACTCCTGGAGAAGTTTGAATATATTCTAGGAAGGAGAATACCACTGGGCATTTTAGTAAGGAGTGGCCCAGTCTTCCTTTGTTTTAAGATTGCTCAGTTGCTGTTTGGAAGCTGTAGGGCTGGCTATAGATTGAGTATCCATGTTACACCCAGTCTGTGCGGAGGCCCTAATCCCTGGTATGATATTTGGAAGGTAGGCTTTGGGGATGTAATTAGATTATGCAGGTAGCATGCTTACAAATAGAATTACTCCCCACTGGAAAGGACTGGAGCCAGATGATCCCACTGTCCAGCAAGAGAAAACATAACCAAGAAGAAGCCCTTACTGGGCACCAGGTCTGTTGGCTTCTTCACTTTGGATTTCCCCACCTTGAGAACTGTGAAAACTAATCATTCTTTAAGCCTCCTAATCTATGGCATCAGTTTAACAGCCTGAACTAAGATGGGGCTCAATAAACCTAAGTTCAAAGTTTGGCTCTTCCATTTACCATCTCATCTATGTGGCTTTGGGCAACTAAATTTACTTCTCTGGGATACCCTTTCCTCCTCTGTGCAGTGGAGATAATGGATCTCACCTGAGAAGACTGTTGGGAGGATACTGAGATGGATCCCATTGCAGTGCCCTCTATGAGGTAAATCCTCACTGGTCTCATTGTAAAAACAGCAATTCCTCTTTAAGGAAGTAAGAGAATAGTTATTCTAAGCCATGTGTGAGCAACATTGGCCCAGGAACATGGATTCAAGTTACTTTGAATGATACATCCAATTCCAAAAGAGGTTACATGAATCTTTACACTTATAGAAGGGGGCAGGGGGAGAAAGAAAGTTAGGAATCCGTGTATTTATCATCTGCATTATAGGAACATCAGACAGAGGTAGGGGGACTGCAGCAGAGTGGTGAAATCTCTGTAGCTTTCAGGGTTGGTAGAGCTAGAGATCTGCTCAGTTGAGTGGTACATTCCAGAGGTTTCTATCTGGTAGTCCCTAGAGTGTTAAGTCAGATGATAAATTGAAAGAAAATGGCTCTCAGAAGAGCCCGAGGTAAGTTTGGGCTTTGGTCCGCAGCATTCCCTCTCCACAGTCATGGTATGCAGATAGGCTGCAGGCTGCCAGGAGAAACGTCTTCTGCATAACCTCTGTACAGTGGAGGCATGGCTGCCTCACCCTGATGTGTACACATAGCACATTCACTCCTACCTGATGGCTGAACCTAAAGGTGGTTTTGAAAGCTATCTCAAGTTTTAGAGTTTTGGGCACTAACCCATGAACAGAAGATTGGTTTTATTTGAGAGACTTTTAAGGAGAATGTGATAAGTGTTGATCACTTTAATAACTACAAGGGTCATTCAGTCTTTTGGGCTAACCTCTTCACAGGGCCAGGCCTCTGATGAGATGGCAGAATAATGTGTTTTTGTTTTTGAGACAGGATCTTGCTATGTTGTTCAGACTGGGTTTGAACTCACTGTGACCCAGTCTGGCCTCAAACTCACTGAAGTTCTCCTGCCTCAGCCTCATTAGTGCTGGTATTACATGCCCTGCCAGAATGAGGTTTTGAGGTGAACCCTAGCCAGGTCAAGGTTGGTGGATCATGTATACCTATAAACCAATAAAGCCAGATCATGGATCAGTGAATCTCCCAGACCAAGATCTACTTCTACTTTAAAGTAGGCCTGGAAAGTTGAATCCTCCAACAGGGTCACAGCTGGAAGAATCAGATATCCACTGCAAGGATCAAGTTTCCTTCATAGATGGAGATTTAAACATATTTATGTGAACTATATTTATATCCATCAGTTTTAAAAATAGGGCTAATATTGCAGTTGAATATAAGAAATAATTATAAATAATTTTATCTAAATTCCAAATCAAGCATGAAGATGCAAAAAATGCCTGTGACTCCCAGGGACACTGGCTTCAGCATAGTTTTTCATTGATTGCAGGATCTGCTCTTTGGAAGAAACTTTTAATCGTATAGATGAATCACCTCTGTAACACCTTTGACAGCTTCCAATCATAACAAAAGCATTCATTCAGATGACATTTATTGAGCACATAGCATGTGACAGGGCTTGTGCTGGGCCCAGGAATGTGGAGTGACTTGTTTTCAGTCCTCAGGGAATTTACCTCATTGCAGGAAGGGTATGGGTATGTATGTGAAACATAACAATAGCACCTTGCAATAAATGCTAGTTAGGAATGAATGAATATATATAGTTAAAACAAGTCCCCACAACAAAATATTCACCATTTCTGTCTCTTTGGGTTGTTCTTACTGTTTATGTCCCACTAATTTTCATTAGTGATTCTGGATCCACCCTGCTGGACCACAGAATAAGTTCTTTCATGTGTTTGTCCTGAGGAATCTCAGGTCAAGGTCTGGTTTCTCTGGGTGGTCCTCACCAGCCATGAACTAAGTCCTTTTGCCATCACAGCCATGCACCTCTGGCTTCCCTGTAGTATGTCCTCTGCACCCCTAAGAGGGCTCTTTTGGGGCCACAGAGTGTACTGCTGGGCACACTTCTCCTCTCCCCTAGCATGCATATAGCTTGAAACCCATTGTTAATCATTGGGCCTCCAGCTTGTTGCAGAATTACCTGGTTTACCCCATCCACCCCACGTCTGGCTGTCTTCAGAGCCATGCAGTGTTACACAATGACTTGGTGACACATCAGCCTTCCTGCT